GCAGCTGGAGGAGGCCAACGCTCGCTTGGCCAACCTGGGTGCCAGGTAGGGACTGTGGGGGACATGGTGGCCCCAGGAATTCCCAGCACCATGGCAGTTGCACCGTGCACCTAGCTCTGGGCACCCAGTGACGATGGGGTCTGCACCATGCACCCAGCTCCGGGCACCCAGTGATAATGAGACCAGGGCTGCAAGATGTGGGTTGGGGTCTTGGTAGATCCTGGTCTGCTCTAGGTTGACGTCTGCCGAGGGTGCCCGCAAGAAGGACCTAGAGAGGCTGAAGGCCAGCGAGGAGAAGGGCAGAGTGCTGGTAAGAGCTGGGACGTGGGGAGCTGGCTTGCCCAGGACGCAGACAGAGCCAGGGTGAGTGCCCCCGGCATCCTGCGGCGAGGGGCTGACGGAGTGAACTTACAGGAGAGGCGGCTGTTTGGACTGGAGCGGGGGGCCGGTGCGTGGCGCCATCACCCAGGTCCTGGGCCACCCTGGCAGGACGGCACGCCGGGCGCTGCTGCTGAGCCGGGATGAGAACGGCGACGATGCCCAGGCCACCAGCGTGTGACACGGCCCCAGCGCTGGGGTTGGCATGGCTCCACTCCCTTCATCCCCCTTGCTCCCTACTGTGCCCTCGTTGCCTGTCGGTGGCCTGGCGCCCGCTGTCACCTTCACCAGCACCCAGAGCTGCATCTCTCTGGGCCTTTCTGAGGGCTGTTTAACCCCCATCTCACGGGGTCTCCTGCCCCCAGGCAATAAAGTGTTGGTGATGCTGCGATAAGGTGCTGGTTGTGTCCTGCCACCTCTGTGGACCCCTTGTCCCCAAGCCCATGTTGTCCCATTCTAACACTGCTAGTGGCCCCAGGGCCACTGGGCAAGAGCTGAGGACATTTATTGAGCTGGTGACTTTTGTGCCTGGTGGGCAAAAGCCAGTGACCACTGCCAAAATGCCAGCACTAAGCCCTCAAACGGAGTCACCGAGGAGATAAACAGAGCCAGAGTTACTGGATGAGGACAGGGACCATCACCCCTCGGCCCCTTGATGCCCCAGAGCAGTGAGTGGTACTGCGCAGAGGTGACTGAGACCTACTGGCTCTCCTGGGCTGCAGGGACCCTGGAGGGGTGGTCGGGTCCCCGCTTTGAGGGAGCCACAACACCAGAGCCAGGGACATGACTGGCAGGGCCATGGGGTGGCAGGGACCTGGGGGATCTGGGGAAGGGACAAGGTTGCCTTAGCCGTGGGCACCCCGGGCAAGGGCCACGGGGACCCCAGGGCAGGGTCAAGGATGGCAGGGTCATGGGGACCCTGGAGCAGCATTGGGGATGCCATAGCCATGGGGACCAAGGGCAGGGCCATGGGGCAGGACCAGGGCAGGGTCATGGGGACCCTGGAGCAGCATTGGGGATGCCATAGCCATGGGGACCAAGGGCAGGGCCATGGGGCAGGACCAGGGCAGGGTCATGGGGACCCTGGAGCAGCATTGGGGATGCCATAGCCATGGGGACCAAGGGCAGGGCCATGGGGCAGGACCAGGGCAGGGTCATGGGGACCCTGGAGCAGCATTGGGGATGCCATAGCCATGGGGACCAAGGGCAGGGCCATGGGGCAGGACCAGGGCAGGGTCATGGGGACCCTGGAGCAGCATTGGGGATGCCATAGCCATGGGGACCAAGGGCAGGGCCATGGGGCAGGACCAGGGCAGGGTCATGGGGACCCTGGAGCAGCATTGGGGATGCCATAGCCATGGGGACCAAGGGCAGGGCCATGGGGCAGGACCAGGGCAGGGTCATGGGGACCCTGGAGCAGCATTGGGGATGCCATAGCCATGGGGACCAAGGGCAGGGCCATGGGGCAGGACCAGGGCAGGGTCATGGGGACCCTGGAGCAGCATTGGGGATGCCATAGCCATGGGGACCAAGGGCAGGGCCATGGGGCAGGACCAGGGCAGGGTCATGGGGACCCTGGAGCAGCATTGGGGATGCCATAGCCATGGGGACCAAGGGCAGGGCCATGGGGCAGGACCAGGGCAGGGTCATGGGGACCCTGGAGCAGCATTGGGGATGCCATAGCCATGGGGACCAAGGGCAGGGCCATGGGGCAGGACCAGGGCAGGGTCATGGGGACCCTGGAGCAGCATTGGGGATGCCATAGCCATGGGGACCAAGGGCAGGGCCATGGGGCAGGACCAGGGCAGGGTCATGGGGACCCTGGAGCAGGGTCGGGGGTGCGAAA